GGGAGGCGGGGCGCGGCGGAAGACTAAGAAGGGGAAAGGAGTTCCGCGATGATACCTGAAATTGGGTAAAGGGGGATGTACGGACTGAATTTTCGCGGGATGACGAAAAGATGAGGCTGTACTCACTCACCCACGATATTCTATGTCTAAATTTGAAAAAGATTTAAATTTGTAAATAATACAGTAACGATAGCAATAAAGCGATTGCTTTCCCAAAAAACAAAAATAAAAGCGACTGCCGATTTTCAATGTCTTACACACCCTTACTACGTTCGAATAAAAAAGGGGCCAACGAGAAAAGGGGTCAAATAGAAAAAGAAAGAAAATAGAACGCGAGAAGATCAGCACCTGCTGCTCTAAAGGAGTGTACTTGGGGGCTCCTATCCCGTTCTGCGTCCTCCCGCCTCTGTCTCCCATTTTTGCTGCATTCTCCATGTTTTCCATCTCCATGAGTTTGCTAGCTAATTTACCGCTATGGCCTCCTCCTCCTCTTCCTCCTCCTCCTCCTCCTCCTCCATAAGCTCGCCAGTCACTAGAGGAAACTCTTCGCTCTACCTCCATAACGTCCTCCTTACTCGCCTTTCGATCCATCGAACGATCTCGTGCTCCCCCTTTTCCTCCCTCTCCCACGATCATCCGATTGACGGGGGTCTCTTGCAGAACGGCAGCGTCCTTACCACCACATATATCCCCAACTGAGCCACCACGGGTGCACCCGTTCTCCCCACCATCTCCACACGCCTTCACATGGAGAGAACGACCACCTTCTCCTCTCGATGGAGAGAGGTGAGGAGAGGAAGTAGAGGAAGATGGAGGAGGGACATTTGGAAGACGAGGAGCTCCTTCGGTACAAGGTATAGGACCACGACCAATCCCCATGCATTCCTCAAAAGTGCTGCTACTTCCCCCGATCCCTTCGTCCTTCCCATTCATCGTCTCTCTACTCCCTCCTACAGTCGAAGGCTCGATCCCCGGCTCCCCTGGGGAACTGCAAGAAAAACCTCTCCTGGCTAATCGTTGCATATCCTCCGCCACACCTCCTTTACCGGACCCCCCGGCTTTGCCGCCTCCCGCACCGATCTTTATCGCGGAGCGCGCCTTTCTGGCCCCGGCATCTGCTAGTCTTCGCCGCTTCGCCTCCCGCACATCCTCCCCGCTCCTTCTGCCGGCTTCTGCCTTTCTGCCGCTCCACGCCGCTTCGCCTCCCTCTGCATCCCCGTCCTCTTCATCCTCGGAGATCCCTTCCTCCCCCTTTCGCATGGCAGCCGCAGCAGAAGCACCACCCGCGCCCCGCCTCCTCCCCTTCTGATTGCCTCTCCCCCTTCCGCCCCCCCCTAGTCTGCTGAGCTCTTCTTGCGACGCAGGGGCGACACGTCGCTTCTCCAACGTCGGACCCGGATCCCTATTCACACCAGCTTTGCCGTGCCGGCCGTGCGCTCGCAACTGCCCACCTCCACTGTCAAAAACACCCCCCTCCTCCACTCCTCCCTCCATCACCACATCCACAGAAGACCCCTCCGCGTTTCTTGCACATTGCTCTACCTCCCCTCTCCCACCCGAATAACCCCCCGCTGCTCGCGATCCACCCACTGGCAGTCCACCTGCATCGACTCCCCATGAGCGGAATGTTCCGCCAGTCAACTTCCCGGCCAGCTTAGGCACCGCAGTCGACTCGCTCGTGCTCCGTCCTCCCTCCCCTGGTGTCGCTGTCACTGCAGCCTTCGGCTTCGGCGCGAAGAAGTGCGATAACACGCGCTGCTGCCCCTTCTTCATCGTGGCAGGTGCTTCTTCGCGTTCGTGGCCTGGCGATCGTTCCGTCCTGCTCCAGTCAATCGCGAGCCAGTGGCAGCGTTCTTGCCTGTGCGGGGCAAAGCTTATCAACCTGTGTCTTCACTCCCCCCCTCGTCCACCGCTGCCAAAAGAAGGGCTCCTCCGCTCTTCCTTTCCCTTTCCTACGGAAGGGACTCCATCATCCAATCGCCGGCTTTGAAGCACCGAAAGCTGGCGTGAGAAAACCGAACCCCCTCTCCCCCTACGCCGCTCTCGCGCTCTCTCCACATCCAATCCCTCCTTATAGCACCAGGAAGACAGTCGCCCTTAAGAGAATCTCCCTGAGAGGACAGGTAATACAGCCATGGCCCGCCTCGGCTGGAACAGACGTCGTGCTCGCAGTGCAGACGAAATGCCTGCTCCGGTATCAGAGAGGTACCTTACACAACTTCAGCGGGAACCCATGAGCTTATGGAAGCAGGTCAACAGGACGCTATGCCGGCGGTAGTCGAGGATATTGTGTCACGCGTCAACCAGCAAACAGCCCATTGATAACCTCCACTCTGACGGTACCTGTCATCTCTCGAGAGAAGGATCATTGCTTGACTAACTGGTTGACCGATGAATTGTTGCTGATCAACTTCGTCATCAGTAAGTCAGACAAGCAGCGTACCAGAAACGATCGACGAAGGCCTGAAAGAGAGACCGACACGTTCACCAGCAGTGGGAGATTTTGAACATTGTTGAGCTGCAGTTTCAAAAACGAGTTTCGCGCGTCGGGTCTCGAGCAATGACGTCCAATCAGGTTTTATTTGATAAAATATAGACCTATAGGGCGGTGGTGTGGTGCGATAGGTCGAGCCTTTAGGGCGGTGGTGTGGTGCAGCTGGCCGACCCTACTCTATTTTCTGCCGCCAGTGTTGGGAAATTACAAGTTTTTGCCAGTTCCCGAAGAAATCGGGAGTACCAGCAGGCTCGGCATATATTCCCCAATACGATGGACATTCAATTTTATATATTTTTGGGGTGCAGTTTTCCGGACAAGCACGGGCCGATTTTCGTTCCTCGACAGCGGCCGAGTTGTGGAACGCTTGTGGAAATGCTACCAGGGCGGCGTGGCAGGTTGGCCTTTCCCTGCTCTGCAGTCGTCGGTTCGTCCTAGGAGACTGGATGACCATCTTCAAGGGCGACAACTTGAAGCTTCTGTCTACGTGCGTGCGGACTGCCAACTGTGTTGGGGACGTCCACCAGCTGCCATCGCACCTCTTTCTCGATCGATCGACGCTCTGTCCATGGATTCTCTATCTATGGACACTCTCTCGATCGATCGAACGATCGATCGATCGATAGATCGACTCTCTGTCCATGGATTCTCTATCTATGGACTCTCTCTCTCTCTCTCTCTCTCTCTCTCTCTCTCTCTCTCTCCCCCCCCCCCCCCCCCCCCCCCCACCGCCTGCATATAGTTCGGCGTCCCAAAAAATATATAGAGAGAGAGAGAGAGACAGGGAGACGATTGGGTGGCGACGGGTATGACGGCCTCTCATCTTCAAGTTGTTTTTTGTGTTTTTTTTTTTTTAGAGTGTGTGTGTTTGTGTTCGTTCAATGTTGTGTGTGTGTGCTCATAATCGCTATACACTAAAAAAAACATGAATGTGGCGTAGTGCTTTGTCGGGCTGTCACGAACTGATGACGAGGTTGAACACCGACAATCTGTTCGGGATACATTTGAATGTTGGCTAAGGACTTGCCACATCGCCCTGAGTTAGCGACACCATTTTTATGTGTGTGTGTGTGTGTATGTGAGTGTGTGTGTGTATGTGTGTGTGTGTGTGTGTATGTGTGTTTGTGTGTGTTTGTGTGTGTGTGTGTGTATGTGTGTGTGTTTGTGTATATGTGTGTGTGTGTCTTCCTTCGTATGTATCTATTATCATATTCGCTATACACTCACAAAAGCATGATTGTGGCTGACTGTTTCGCCAGACTGTCGTGGACTCATCGATGGGCCCCGACTTCTTACCCGAAGGGCATTCGACTAATGGATACAGTTAACGATACCCGTGATCAAACTTGTGCGTATACGTGTGAGTGTATGAATCGATCGACCAATCAATCAATCAATCAATCAATTAATCAATCAATCAATCAATCAATCAATCAATCAATCAATCGTTCACTCAATCATTAAATCAACCAATCAATCATGAGCAATTCACGACAAATTAAACCAACCAACCTACCAATGAAACATTCATTCAATCAATCGATAAACAATTTTATCATTTATATTCTATATGAATCAATAAATCAATCAATCGAATGATTAATCAAACTCGTCGCATATCAAACAAATCAACCAATAAATCAATCAAGCGTTCAGTATATGTATCAATGAATCAATCAATCCGTCAACCAATTTTTTTACCATAATGCAATCAATGAATCAATGAATCTTTTAATCAACCAGTCAATCAATCAATCAATTTATTTATCAATCAGTCAATCAATCAATCTATCAATCAATCTATCAATCAATCTATCAATTAATGTATCAAACCACTAATAAAAAAAAAAGGTAAATGAAGCTAAAAAAATATTCGTTCTCCGGAATAAATCATCGCGCTATTATTTTGTTTCTCGACATTTTCCTTCGCAATCTATAAATAAAACAATAAATAAAACAACTCGTTAGAAAAATATATATATTTATCATTGTGCATATATGTTAGTTGTTTATATGTATACTGGCCACAAATAGACGTAGCAATCGGGTTAAAAATTTGAGGTTTTTTTTATGTACAATAAAAAAAACTTACTTTCCATAACAAATCCTCCGATAAAACATTAAAAAAAAACTTGAATTCCATGCATTGGGACATATTTCGGTTGCTCGTACACATGAGGATGTAGTCGGCATTTAAAATGGCGAAATTTTGTTGTCACAAACACATTTGTTATGACGAGCCATAATTTTTATTTTTTTAAGTTTTTTTTAATTACAAGAATAATATTAAATTTTAGTCACAGTGTCAAGCACATCAGCTCCAGCCTTCTCTGAAAGGCGAGAGCCGATACACTCGACACCAAAATCTTATGTCATGATAATACTTTGGAGCTCGGTGTTTTTTTGTCTGTTTATGCTCATAAATAAAAAGAAAAACACGAATGTGAATATAATTTTTGTCATTTTCGATGTATCTTTGTGACATATATATATATATACTTAGTTAGCGTGTATATTATTATCGACGTTATGTAAATTGTAAAACGTTATCGTTCGGTATTTTGTCAATGACAAACGTCAAAGATTATAGCGATTCAATTGTTTTTATCTTTCATAATTCTTGATTTTATTAATAAGTTATTATCATCTGATATAATGGTTGATAAAAATATATTTCAATCAAAGCACTAATAAAATTGTGTAAAAAAAACAAAACAGATAGTTCATTTATATGTACATTAAAATTTATATATATATATATATATATTTAAACAAAGTTGGCTTGTAAAATATAGGCAGAGAGGAGAAATAGGACAACAAACGAGGAACTGTGACAAAATGTTTCACCGTAGTTTATATATATATATATATATATATATATATATCGTCACAAATAGAACTGCCCGATAAACCGTAGGCAGAGAGAAAGAAGAGGACAACAAACGGGCGGCTGTGACAAACTGTTTCGTCGGAGTTTCACCGACTCATCAGGAGGTTGAACCCTCAACAGTCTGCAGAATCCCCTCACTGATTACACTGTAAATGATAATTTATCTTAACCAAAATCAAAGTAGACTATCACTCACCCCACACTAGATGGAAAAGTCTACAGACTGTCGGTTCACACCCCATCACAAACCAGCAAAACATCCACGAAACAAAGAAAGATCTGTCACAGCCAAAAAATACACTCCTATAAAGTGAAAATTATGTCGATCGTCTTCTTATTGACGTTGTGTATTTTCGTCGTTTGTTTCTATGCAGGCCAACACGTTCACAATGTTTGAGATAGTTTGTGGCACCACCGTCGGTCGCACCACGAGCCGCTAGGTTTTTCCACAAGGCACACCCTCAGATCATCACACTGCGACCCAGTCTCGACCTGGTGAGTAGGGATTGTTGGGAGCTTCACCGTACATTACCAGTGAGGAAGGGCGTATGGGGAAAAAAACTTGTGTTGATAATTTGTCAACTTTTACCGACGTGAGTCATCGAGGATCCGTTTTGCGTTCGTTGTTGCCGAGTTTGTTAGACTATTTTTCACAAGTTTAGTTAGCGGTACCTCATGCAGACATGCGTGATGGTGTGCTTAGTAGTCTGTTGCTACCGTCCCCTCTCCGTCCTCGACGGTTGGACTACGGGGCTTGTGTCCCTTTGGCTCCAATGCGGACACATTCGGTGGACTCGATACGTTATGCTTTTGTCACTTTTTACGAGGGATGAGTGGATGATGTGAGTCATGGGCAGAGTTCGCAGTCAACATTCGTTGGTTAGCCTGCTTGTCGAGAAAGTTAGGCGACAGTTTTCGCCTCTTGTTGCACGTGTCACTGAGTGTCGCCCAGACAATATCGATTGTGCAGTGGTCCATGGTGGTACGCAGTCTTCTGCCTCCACGAAGATCGCTCGATTGAGTGTGAACGATGGTTGTCGAAAAAAAGTTTACACTTCGTGATGCTATGTCAGGTGTGAGTAATAATTGTGGCCCTATCAGTGACTTTGTCGATCCTTTATTGCACTGTTCTCTGTCAGCAATAAAGGCAGAGTTAGGGGGCATTGTGGCTGACGCAATTTCAACGATATTACCCTCATGTGTATGTGTACCGGATTTTCGCTTGTGATATATGGAGACCGATTCAGGTGTTGACTTCCATGTCGGGGGTGATTATGCTTTGGGGGGAGGTGCGTGTGAGAGATCCATTGACAACTCGCAAAACTCACTTTCACGATCAGGCCGTGGTTCGCAACATGGTGAACAGGCACGAGGTCGGCCCCTCGGTGAAGGTGGCTCCATTTCGACACCTACGCGAGCACAACTGTGGTCTGATTGTGGAGACTGTATTGAC